GAACACAGAAGTAATTTTAACATAAATATTTTACGGAATCCGTTCCTGAAATATACAAATAATAACATACCAAAAGCCCGAAAAAATCTAATCAGGGGAACATTGTTCATTATAAAGATATTTAATGGGTTAAAATCAAACGTTTTATTGCACAACTGCTCTACTGGAAGCGTATAAATGCATGTCGTTGGCAAGTTGTTGCTAACGAAAAAATGTGAATTATAGGGTAATACGCCCGCACGCGATCCAAAAGCGGGGAACACATAGGTTTGTCGGTCAAAGGGATCTGTTGCCGAGTGATCTCCTCAATAATACCTCCATGGTTGTACTGTACAGTCAATTTGAGCACAGTAATAATAAAATGACATAAAGTGGAAGTTGAATTAACTGAAATATTAAAGGTCGTGTGTAGGGTTGCCATTGAGGGAAGGGCGCTGGAATGAGCAAATATACCGGTACCACTTTCGCTTTTTTTCCTTTTTTAACCATACTTATAGAGGGTGACTTTTCCAGTGTATCCTAGAATGTCGGTGATAATATCAGGGCATTCTTAAATAAATTAAATAATGTGAAGTTTTATCAGCGAAGTCTCTTTATGAGGTTTATGGAGTTGAGTTGTTTTTAGTCGTGAGAAAACGTCTTGTTGTCACAGGAATTGAACCCAGGACCCTGGGATTAAAAGGCAGGCACTAAGCTTCAACTCCACTCTTTCATAAGTATATAATTTTGTTGAACTGCCTGTAATTTCAATATTACAGGGGAAAAAATAATTTCGGTAGGCCTATGTTAGTAATCAATTAGTAGGCCCGATTGACAGGAAGTTGCTTTTCTCACGTATCTGTTCTTCCACGTTATGTGTATGAAAACATGATGTAATAATCGCTGGATGATAATGAATACATAAATTAAATGAAAATATTCAGTCATTGCGGTACTCCTGGTTGAAATTAAACACATCAACTTGCAACGTAACAAGTAGGCCGAAATAATTCAACTTCTCGGAATACACCAATGGACTAACATCTACATTCATTTGAATTTTTAGTGATAGTTAAACTTTTTTTCATACAAACCATCCATTGACTTCTTACAATAATTGTTAGGCAACACATAAACACCTTACTGTTGTTACATTATTCATGACTTGTTCGAGGTCTACCTTCATCGCCGACACAACTCTTGGTAGTGTTATAACATGATGTTCATGGTCGTGTTTATATTGCACAATGACGAGACAGACCAGCTGATCAATCACGTCACAGGAATACGTGCATGTCCCACAACGATTCAAGTTTACATACTTTATTCTGTTTAATGTCCACACCTTATTAACTTATATCCAAGCGGCAGCGGAAAGGTCATTGATGATGATAATGATGATAATGATGATGATGATGATGATGATGATGATGATGATGATGATGATGAATGATGATTATAATAAGGATGTTGGTAATAATGATGTATGAATTTAAATTAATTTATATATAGGCCTATTAAAATTGCTAAATATTCTGGATTTGGTGCCTTACCTCCATTCTTCCACACGTTATACAAAGATACAATAACCATGCAAAAGAAGTTTTTTTCTCAGGTCGGAGTTCAAATTCGGATGAAGAGTATATATTAAAATGGCGATCACGATGGATGAGGATTACTTTACACTTAATGGATGATAATATATTTTATAAAATCAAAGCTGCTAATCGTTTTAGCATTAGACCCATAAGGGGAAAAAATTGAATTGCAAATTTTATATTAAGGTAAATTATCGTTAGAAACAACCACCGAGAAATCGTAATATTCAAGTGAATGATTATCCGACTCAAACTTATAATGAAAAATAATTTTTGCCTGAAATAGGACAGTCTGTCTTTCATGGGGATATTACGATCTTTTACACAAGAAGACAATATTATAAAAGTGCGTGCATATATGTAGTCAACTCTCCAACCGACCACCCTTCGGACCGTCCACTTTCACCGGTTTTCCGGACGGTCCGGTTTAGAGAACGTCATGTTTACCAACCTTGAGTCGATAATAGTCCTAGCTTGGCAAGGTATCACACTATGTACTGCGCCGTTAACACAGCTAAATTATATATAAATCATCAAAGAAAGGTAAATACAGTGTTCGAATAAAGAACATAATACACTGTGTAGCGCAGCTCTCAACATAGGACAACATTCCTTGAGAGCTACCGTATGTTACGCTACACGGTGTATTGTCATGTCCTTTATTCGAACACTGTATTACCTTTCTTTGATGATATATATACTGTCTCTTATACACATCTAGATGTGTATAAGAGACAGTGTAGGTGCTAATGCACTTTAGAACTCGTTTTCCTGACCGGTCTCGTTGGCTGTGTACCCTGCCGTAGTCATCACTTTCCACTAAACATCACTACCTAAACTCTCTCAATTTTCAAAAATATTTTTAAAAATGAAGAAAACTGGAAGATTATTAAAATTTAAGTCTGAGAGTACAATTTCCTGTTATCTAGAATGCCATAATAAAAAAATATACCTAGATACTCCATCTGTGAAAGTCCTTCACCTGGGCCCCCTCTATCGTATGATATTGTTTTCAACTCATATTGTGTAACTGTTTGTTTTCAGAAGTTTTAAGATTATCGTCAAAGGTCAATTGCAACCAATGTTGTAAGATTCACAAATGAATAATAGGTCTAATTCACTTTCCTGTAAAGGCACGCCCCTGACAAACCGTGTGACGTAAACAAAGGGACTTTCCCTAAGATCCACGTGGTGCCGTAATGGAGTCGGAGGCAGCGGTCCTAAATGATTTGAAAGCCGAGTTTATATCGCTCACGCATCGTGTACCTAAAAACTGCATATCTGAATTTACTAAAGTTGTTAAGGAATGGCTAGAAAATGTAGATGGTAAGTTGACTTATAAGTATCCAGATTTCTGAGGAATAGAGTCTAGAACTAGAACTCTGTCTAGGCCCAAGCGATATAACTATTAACTGGCAACCAACCTACACAGACAGCAGACGTACGTACTACCATAAGCTGGCTAAGCCTAGGCCTAGTAGCCTAGGCTAACTCACCAAGAAGATATACTTATTATATTTGTACCTCCTCTTTCAACGTTAGGTTCTTAATAATAAGTACATAGTCGATATCATGCTGACCCACCAAAATCGTCAAGCAATACTTTACTGTTAGCTGAGGACTAGATATGTACTGTGCGTGACAGTATTATATTAACAACATACATTTTTTAGTGATAACAAATTCGTATTAAAAAATAAATTATTCGATTGTAGGTCAGGTGTTGTGGTTAATTGTTTGACATGTAAACCCACGTATGGTACATACATGCCATTGAATTACTAGGAACAGGGAGATGTAAAAAAAATAGGAACATAATACATTTAGTGATGGACAAAATTGAGCAAAGTAACCAATTCTTTGAATCTAAAATGTTGTTGTTACATGAGGTATGTTTTTTAGGTTGCAAATATTTTCCAATTGAAAATAGTAACAGTGGTGGATGCAAGCTTCATTTTTTTCATCTAACATCAAATGTGGACATGATGGTGAACCGGAGCAGACTGGGATCCATGTGGTTACCGGTCTAGTAACTAATGAGGGGTGCAGATGGGGGAGTACTCGCCTTTCGATACATGGGGTGTTGTTGTGGAATGATGTGAACATTCTATGATTAGACCTAAGATGGAGTATGGTGGCAGTTCATGGATACCTCTTTATCAAAAAGACATTAATCGTTTGGAAAAAGTTCAGCAACGTTCTATAAGGCTTGTGTCTGAATTAAGAAGGAGGTCTTATGAGGAGAGGTTTAAAATATTGGACTTGCCTACTTTAGCGTTTAGAAAGAAAAGGGCTGATTTAATTCAAACATTTAAAATTTTTAAAAATATTGATAGGATTGATGAGGGAAAGCTCTTTCAAAGATCTATATTCCATAAAACTAGGGGGTTCTTTAAAAGTCTATAAATCCAAACCAAATCTTAATGTGAGGAAAAGGGCATATGCAGTTCGGGTAGATTGGAATTCACTACCTAACGATGTTGTAACTGCTTCAACTGTTAATAAATTCAAGTCTGGCATAGCAAAAAGTTGGTCTGACCACCATCTCAAGTTCCGCCCATATGTTTCTGAAGAGTTTGTTATGATGACTCTGGATGGACAAACGAGCTAATGCTCTAGTCCTAGGTTCAAGGTAATTCAAGGTAATTTAACTACTATAAGTGCTGCTTATATGGCATGACTGAAAAAATGATAAGCATCATTTATTATTTAACACAAATACTGTGCTTTCAAAAAGATGATGATAATAACACACTATCTAGACTTAACTAAAGCAGATAAAGTGTGACTCAAATATGCGTGGCTGAATATTCTAATTGTCCGATGATTGTCTTTGTTTTTCTTTCATTAAGCTATAGGCAACAACAATGATGTTTTCTTAAAGGCTATTAGTGAAGATATCCGAAATTATGAAGGGTTACCAGCAGATGCTGTCATGGATACGGAAAAAGTTTCCCATCCAGATATTGGCCAGGTAAGTTGGTTCCGATCCCCATTGGGACATTACTTTAAAAAAAAAAATCTTTATATTTTATCTAGAAAACAAATGTACATTCATATAGTATATTTATTACTTATATTCATTCAATCAATCAATTAATCAATCAACAAGGATTTGTAAAGCGCCAATATGTATGGCAGAATGCAACGTTCAGTGGCGCTATGACAATGGTATGCTCAAAAGTGCACATTACCTTCTGAGGTTAATTAACAATGCTATTTAATTATTGAAAATTAGGAAAAAATGGAAAAAAAACTAACAATTTACTTGTGTATCAAAAAACCTAGTATTAGATGGAGAAGAGATAAGATTTAAGTCTTTCTTAATGATAATGACAGAAAATGAGTTTTGATCTCTAGCGGTAGGGCATTCCATAAGGCCTAAAAAAATTAATTGTTTGTTTGCCCTTCTTCTAAAAGGACAAAAAGTGCGTGTGGAATTTTTTTTTTTTTTTTTTCAAGATTACTCATCAGATGGAATGAAAATAACCCACAGTTGACATTTTGCAATGAATGTAGGAATAGAATGGCAACATCTTACATCAGACAACAAATTTATACAACTTTTTTAGGGCATCTGGCAAAAAATAGAGTTCAGTTCACTCACATTTTTTTTTAAATTGTAAAGAAAAATAGCTAAAAAAAAATGTTTGTAAGTTGTTTTTGTTTTGCCGCCCCTATTTTTTCCAGTGAGTTAGGGGTGGGTGAGGAGGACAAACAAACAATTTATTTTTAGACCGAATTTAGGTGTGGTACATGAGAAAGCATGTTTATTAAGGTTTTTATGTCTCTGCCTGCCTTGCTCAAGAAGGTGCTTGTGTGATGATGTTATTGACTAGTCTACTTGCTAACTTATCGTTGTAAATGCTTGACCTTTTGTGACATAATACGTTTAATGCCGGGCACATGCTGCGGTCATCATCTGACACGATTCCATAGAGAATGCAACGTGACTATGCCCACTCAAGAGATCTTTTTAAATGCAGATTCGCTCAGGCTGCCACTGACAATTAGCATACAGTGTTGTGTCATCAAGTGCTCAAAGAAAGAGGAGATGGATTCATTGGCTGATGGTTGTACGATGATTATCATCATCCAGGCCCATAGCGTGGGTGGGGCGGTGAACCGCCCAAAAACTGGAGAAGGTCTGCATTTAAAAACAAAAAATTGATATTCGTAGATATATTTACAATGTTCTCCAGCGTATCAGAGATCATACAAGCCAAAGGGTCCACTTTCCACTGAAACGAACCTCCCACAAATTAAGTCACGCTACGGGCCTGTCATCATTATTATTATCATTATCATCATCATTATAAGCATTTTATTAATAGTACTTTATTAATATCATTATTATTATTGTTGTTGTTGTTGTTTTTATTATAATATTAATTTATTCCTAATAAAATCACAACCGATTTTAAGCTGACCATTTAGGCTAGCCCTAACTCTTTTATCTATTAACAAACTAGATACAAACATGTTTCTGTAGTACAGTTGCTATCTTCAGTGTAACAATGCTTACAAGCAAATTCTAGTATTTATAGGAGTGAACAAATGCGATGAATTTCATGATAAATAAGCGAACTGAAGCGTATGAATGAAATACATGAATAAAGATGATAAATAAGAACCAATGGGTGGCATAGCATTTAAATTAAAGGAATTTAACATACAGAAAAAAATAAGGCACAAATAAAATTGATAAATGGGATGTTGTCATGGAAAGATGTGAACATGAAAAAATAAGGCAAGTGAATCAGAACGAAAGAGTTAAATATGTTGTATTAGTCTATAAGCAAGGGCTGCTACCACTATGCAACACTTCTTTGAATTTTATGTTGATAGCAGTATTAGCGGAATATATTATTTTGAAACTGCCCTCATTGCAAACAGCCTTTAACATAGGAGGTTATTATTATAACTAACATGCCTCATTCTCTACAATGTCATCTTAATTAGGTGAGACTTTTTTATACCATGTTGATTTAGGGGTCATCCATAATTATTAACATTTTCAAAAGAGTACAAAACATACGCTTTCGGGGGTGGGGGTAGAAAGTGTAGGCATAAATACTCTTTCATGAAAAAGATAAAATGTTGGTCCCAATAAGATACAAATCAACATTTTTTTGCGTACTCTTTCAGTGGGAGGGAGAGGGTCACAGAAAAAATTATGTTTTGTACTCTTTTGAAAATGTTGAAAATTATGGATGATCCCTTAGAATAACAATAAAATTTTATTTTTGGCCAGGTAGCATAGTTTATTTTTATTACGCCCGTCGCTTCCTTGAAATCTCCAAAAATAAGATATGTATGTTTCCTCCTAATTATATAAATTTAAAGCATTTAACCATCCCAGTACTAAACTGTTTACATTCACCAATACAATTTTATATTATTTTCTCCTCCGCCTGGATGTTTTTAGCAAAACTATTTGCTAAATATGAAAACAATTTATATTTTTTCCGCCCCCTTCTGATAATCTGATGAAGTAAGTTATCAAAACAAGGTATTAAAAAAGTCTCAACCTAATTTATATATATATATATATATATATATATTATAAATTTTATAAATTTGAAACATGATGCTCAATCATCATGCTATCTATCTAGATTGATTAAACATTCATAAGATATATACATTCACTGTAAAAAGCCTCATTTGATATACAGAATTACAATCCTCCGAGGATTGTATTATTGTGGTTTATCTTATACTAGAGCATTTTATAATTATAGTCTGTGGCTTTAAGATATACTGTACAGTACCATCTCTGATAACGAGTATGCTAAAACACTTAGTAAAACAAAAATATTTGAATTGCATGGTTGTAAAAACTAGGTAGGCCAATTTAGTTAATTCCTTGTCAAATAGATGTATGAGAACAGAATCTTTTTGCATAGACACTTAAAGTCTTTGTATTGTAAACAGCATATTCAAGAATATTTTGAAGCCCACAGAAAAAAATTTTTTTTTATCATTTAGGGTGAGATTTTTTTATAACTTGTTTCGCGAATTTATTTTTGTGAAGGTCGTCAGCAGAGGGCGGGAAAAAAAAGTAAAATGTTGTTTTCTTATTTAACAAATAATTTTGTCTCTACTACTGTACATAGGATCATATACCAAAAAGAATTTTGATTTTCCTTCACACATACAGGTTTTAATGAGAAAATAGTGATTTTAACGACCATTTTTGGTATAAAATCACCAAAAACGCTATCTCGAAAACCACCTGTCATAGAGAGTTAAACTATGTATCAAAATGATGGCAAGAGTTATGTTTATATTCAACATAATGGAAGTCTTATTAAAAATCAAGGTGTAAGTTGGAAAAAATTGAGAAAATTGGGATTTTCACTTAATTTTGCGCATGCGAAAAAGTTGAGTTCTTGTTGTTGTTGTCTAGATAGGACACTATCAGTGTTTGGCCCAAAATCTACATTGTGCAGAAAAAACAAGGTTATGTCATGGCACAAAACGAAAGCTCCCTGTAAACGTGCCTCGAATAACCTTCACGTAATATAATAGGCTGGTTAAAGGCTAATGTTTTTATCCATTTGTATCTGTTAAATTACCGTTGCCGCTGCACTGCGTCTGTCTCCATTTCCAATTTCAATTTGAAACATGAGAAGAAAGAAAAATGAATTATTTATCATTTAATTTGATTTGATTTAACACTTCAGTAACTTTAAGTTATCTAAACATGCAAACATAACAATTCTTGGTCCACACATACTGTACACATCCTGCGCAAAATTCTGTAAACATATAAAATATTAAAATAAAGATTGGTTTTTTAGATTTTTGAAGTTCATAACAAATAAAATACAATAGTCGACTTATGTACAAAAATGTATGTAAAAAATTGTTTTCTTGCCATAATGGTTAGTTTTCTTTATGGCCAATGACTGTACACAAGTATAGTGGATGTTACATTTGTCTGTGAAAACAGAAAAAAAATAATGATGATGATGAAGTCAAACTGTACTTATTTGGTGCAATAATGTGTTACAGCCACACACACAGTCATTAAGGAAGCAAAGTGGTGATGGGGGAGAAGGAAGAAGAGCACAGTGATATAAAAAAGATATATGTACAAAAATCACATTCTTCTTGTATTGTTTTGTTTGTTTAATTTTCAATATTTTAATGTTATAGACTCTTGTTTTTGCATTTCTTGATTTTCACTTTAATGTTTTTTTCACTTGATGTTATATGTTTTAAGAAGATTTTTAAAATATGGAATTTAATTGAATCATTTAGTATTGTTATTTATAGTTTTCCAGTATAGACCCTGAATCATTTAGTATTGTTATTTATAGTTTTCCGGTAAAGACCCATCCACTGTTGTCCATGTTGATAAATTTCTTTATGATGACGATGCTGTTGACCAACTCTGTGAAGATGGCCGCCTCTCAAGGAACTACTGTCTAGATTGCCAATCTCACCGAACCGAACCATTAAGTAAGAATGCCATGTTTTAGCAATAGTATGCAATTATAGTCAAGTTCAGAGGACACTATAGAAAATAGAAGCTAAAAAATTGCCTGAAGCCTGCAGTTAAAATGAAACTGGTGGCAGCTGTGACCAGTTGCTCAGTGATAAGGTCCATACATTAACTGCACGTGTGCAAGCCGTGCATATGGGAATGATTTGCTAGTATGCGGACTGACACTCTTTGATACAATTAAAAAATTGATTCTGGTTGTTGATGAACTTAAGTTTATTGTTAATTGGCCTAACGTACTTGTTTGGAGAGGCTATCAATAAGCTTTATGGCTATTAAGGCGATCCACCAGGCTTGGCTTGGTGAATTGTTGTGTTTTAGGGATTTTCTTTTTACTTGAACATGTTTGTATTCAATTTATTTTTTTATGGTTGCTTGTTTGCCTGAAAATATCTAATAAAAATAATAAAATAAATAAAATGAAAAGCGTCCCACCTTGGGTGACAGGTATTCATTCATTTTATAAAGACAAAATTCACAAGCAAGAGATAAAAATGATTAAATATTTCAGTATTGCATGGGCTTTTTAGTTCTTTTGTAAGTCAAACACCTAGTTTCCCATAACCATTATATTCTTTTAAGGCTTAGACTAGGTTTTCTAGGCTTCATTTATGTTCACCAACACCAAAGATTGGGTTAGGTTTTCGTTGTATGGTTCATTGTGTGTATTCAGAGCTTGGCCTAGCAATGAAATAATATTCATTGCGTTGTTAAGCAGCAGCTTTGAGGTTTTTTCACAAGAAACCCAAATACCAGGCTCTATATCAAATTAGTGCGTGCTCCTGGATTGGAAGGTTACATGGAAATGAAAATGTAACATCACAACTGACTTTATAATAATTAATAATGGGTGGGGAACAATCATTTTATCATTGATTATTTTGCTTAGTAACATGAGATGTGATGTGCGCAATCTCATCAATTTTCAGTGGGAAGTGCAGCCGGTGCCAAGCACTGGGGCCCAGTGCTATTAGGAGCCCATTTATAAAAATAAACTTAATATCTTAATATCCACTGGCCCCCTTAATAATATTTGGTTTTTAGAGGAATAGTTAATGATAACTGTTTTTATTTCAATTCAGTGGTGTATTCAAGTGAGCCCCAGTCGGTCTGACACTCCTAATTTTCAAAATGGAGAAAAGGAAATTACATTCAGATTTAAGTCTGCCATATCCGGCCATATAGTGGTGCTATAATCATAAATTTTCATGGTGGAGTTGAGGTGGTCTTCACCCTTCACCTGTTAAAATGCCTCCTTGGCACCTCTATTTTGATTTCCCTGATCTGCCACTGCAATTGTTTAATTTTACGTGCCACCAATGTTCTTGATTAGTTTTCAGAAGCTGCAGAGACTGAATATGCCCCTCATAAAATAATTACTAATCCTACAGTATTATCATTAATATTTATTACTAGCCTAGGCCTTTAGGAAAAAGGGGTAAGAGAAGCACTTCTTAAATTGAATTTCCTCAGAAATTTAGGGAATTCCCCTATCACATCAAAGGGCCCAGGACCGGGATCTATCAATCTCAGCTTAGCAAATGTCTTAAGTCAAAAAAGTTAAGATGTCACTAATAAATATCTTAAACTGATTTATTACCCAATCTTGGCAAATTCTTGGCTTAAAAATCGTCCTTAGATGGCGCCAACGTACAATCGACTTTTAAGACTTATTTTAAGCAACTTTTAAGCTAAGCAATATGGATAAATTTGACTTAAGCAAAAAAATGGACTTAAGACGAATTTAAGCTGATTTCTAGTTAGATAAATCTGGCCCCAATAATTTAATCTTGCACTGGGACCCTTTCGCACCTAGCTACTGCTGTCTAATTTGTTTAGCAATCATTAATGTGCTCAATGTTTAATCCATTTGCTTACAAAACAGATATTTTTCTTTTGAAAGAGGCAACATGTTCATTGAAATTCTTCCAAGTATGTTCATAAAATATTTAGATCGCTTAAATGTACTGTAGCATTGCACAGTCTGAAACCAAACGCCAAAATAGAGATGGTCACTCTGGCCTATAAGCCCAGAGAGCTTTAGGTTTCAGCTTTACATTTTTAAATTTTACAACTGACATTAAATTCATCATAATGATCATCATGTTAATGCTGATGCTCACAGAATTTTTTGTTTGTCGACAGTTTGCCGACAACCGCTACAGGCCTGATTAAATGGTTAATCAACAGACAATTTATTAGCACGAAAGCCACTGTCGGCAAAATGTTTATATTCTTGTATAATACAAGAATTTGTTTAACTTTTGTACAGAACTTAAAACCATTTCATTAATTAAGCATTATAAAAAAAAAAAAGTTTAAAAATTAAAATTTTGTTAATTAAAACATGTATAGGTGTAATTTTGCCCTACCTGACGTGGAAATGTACTGAATACTCAGTACATTTGAAAACAACTGCAAAAAAAATCGGAAGTTGTTCTCGAGTGGGACCCAAACCCATGATCTCCAGATCACTAGCCTGGCATTATTCATACCTCTAGACCACCGAGCTTGCGCCTGATGGCCAGGGTTGACTTTAATTAAAACATGTTATCATATTTTAATTAGCATTTCTTTTATATTGATAATTGCTACATGGTTTAATAAGACTGTCACTTTAAAAGCCTTGACTCTTGTTGGAAGATTGAGCTGGGTATTTGCAGTTAGGTGTGAAAAAAATCATAACTCATCAATAATAATAAATTGATCCTTGAAACAAAATCACATGTTAATAGTAATTATATAATAATTTTGTTAAGTAAAACATAGTGTAATTATTTTCCAAATAGCATTTCTTTTGAATTGATCATTGCTACATATACTGTCTTGCACTTTGAAGGCCTTGACTCTTGTTGGAAGATTGAGCTTCCTATCAACGTCACTGCCATATTCCTTCGGGATAAAATTTCGTATCGGTGCTGACAATTAGCTATGCATTAAGGATTTACCTTTGAGCTGTGTGGTATCTGGTATTTATATTTAATTCAATAGAGTGTTCTCCCTTGGTAATTGTTCCTTTTTATCGAAATAGTAATTAAGCAGAAGCATCCATGATCACTAATAACAAGATTCAGGTCAATCATGGGTCAATAAATGGTATCTATTAGTTTATATATGGTACAATAGCACTAATAGTGTTTACTGGTAACTAGCCTTTAAAGTGTATCCTATTATATTTTATAGACCAATTAAACTGTTGCTTAAATATTTGGTGGTTAATTAATATTTTTAATTAAAGAAATTATATGGGTTTTTTGTAGATATTGTGAGATATTGTAGAAGTGGTTTGGCGCAGTGAGAATGATTTGGTTTCCCAATCTCGATGTCGGGTTTCAATCCCTCATTGTGCATTTCATTTGTGTCCTTGGGCAAGGCTCTTTGTCTGCATTGCTTCTTTCCACCCAGGAGTATATGTGGGTACCTGGTAGGGTTATATGCCAAAATGCGCTGATGTAGCTTCTGCGACGTTATGAATTACTCCCCCAGGGAGCTTGCGTTTGTGTTCCATAGGCATTTAATCCAATGACCGGGGTAATGATAATGTGAAGTGCATAGAGGGCTTAACAATATCTGCTATATAAGTCTACCATTATTATTATTATTATTATTATTATTATTATTATTATTATTATTATTATTATTATTATTATTATTATTTATTATTAATTTTATTATTATTATTATTATTATAAAATTGAAAGAATATACAATACTGTAGGTACTTTTAAGATAAAGAAAATAAGTAAATCTTTGCCGAGGCACAGGTCTTATATGGGCTCGAGCTTATCCCCAGTTTCAAGTAGTGTGAAGCAGCTGCAAGCATGATGCTCCCCCTGGGTGGGACACTAGTCCACCGCAGGTTACTCCCAGCAATTTGCTGGTACCAATTGATACAGACTGGGTTCAGCAATGTAGATGAAGTGCCTTGCTGAAGGACACAAGCTAAATGCACAGCAAAGGATTTAAACCCTGACGTCGAAAGTTGGGAAACCAAACCGTTTCCATTGTGCCAGACTGCTTCAAATTCTAAAAAAAAGCATTCTAATTTTTTATATATGAGATGAATGTTGAATAAATTAATCTACTTCAAGTCCCCAAATTAAAATAAAACGATTTTTCAATTAATTAAAGGCACGTACTACAAAAAATCTCGAACAAGAATAAATTAATAGAACATAAAGCATACGAAAAAAAAATATTGATAGTATTTGATGAAGCCCGACTAAATAATACTTGAAAACTGTCAGTCAAAACAGTCGGATTAATTCAAAAAATTTCTCTATAGAACATTAAATATTGTTTGGCGCCCTCAACGTACTGTATCCTAGCTGCTACTGCATTATCTATTCCCTATCCATTTCTTTCTATGCCAATTTCGACAATGTGGACCCCTTCTACCCTACCCTTGGGATGTAGAGCAACGATTATGTTTTTAAAGTTTCTCATCTGTTTTTGTTGGTAAATTATTGAAATGCATCTATTATTACATATTATAATTCAATTAAAATATAGTAGTCGCCAATTAATAAATTAATATGGCTTAAAAATTAAATTAAGGTATAATTAAGTAATTTATTAATTTAATTAAGAAAAATGTAAAATAAATGGATTTTGGACGAAGATGGGCTTCGAAGGAACTAATGAAAATGAAATATCTTGGACGATTTTAGTCATGTTGCTCATCTCCTGGAAATTCACACAACAATTCGCGGTCCAATTTTCAAAATTCGCTGTCAGTTTTCGGACCGCGGTATCCGGGTGATGAAAATGTTTTTTGTGGCGTTGTAACAGTTCTCTAGGTGGTGGGCTGGTGTTTTGTAGGACCCCTAAATATGGAGCATAATTGCAGTTTACCGATCATAACAAAGGGAATACAGAGCTTTTCAGTTGAACTCTTGATGCGCTGTAACAAAAATTCTTCACGATGTTGATGGTGGAGTATGTACTTTTTATCAGGGTTGGACTCGTGGTATTTGGCATACAATCCTACCATTAAGCATTACTCCATTTTTCAGTATTCCAGAGGATTGCCTTTCCACAACATTGATATTCGACTAGACGTTTGTTCATTTCCCTTTCCGTCGGGACGGTATCTAATCCGTCATTGATCTTGAGGTTTAGTCGGCAGGTTGTCTCTCACTTAATATTACCATTGTGTATTGTTGTTGTTATTGAATTTCCTGCACGATTTTAATGCTTTATATGTGAAATTAAACATTTGAAATTCTCGTAGATGTAGTAGAGGAATAAGGGGTTTGACACAAGAAACATTCAATTAAATACAGCTTGAAAACAGCAACGTCTAAGATATAATAATTTTAAAGCATTTTTTAAGTTAATTGTTGAATATTGTGATGGTTTGCATATAGGTTAAGTTATTTTTTGTTTTTATCTTTTCGATTTTATAAATTATTTCTCTTCTTTAGCTTTTCAATTAAAATAAACTATATACAACAATGGTTTCTTCTCTCATGACCAATGTCCAAATGATTTTTCGCATGGTGTTTTGAGCCTTGGTGTCATATGTGGCCTTAAATATAATTGAAATTTGATTGAAAATTATAACAACGCTGCATCTAGCTGGCTAAAAACTGAGCCAAATATAGGGCCAATCTTCAAATACCATTTTATGGGCTAGGCCTATTAAATGTTAATCAAAATCTCATTTCTCAGTATTTAAAATATTCATACTGTACTAACATTTAGCAGATTTATTGCAGTAGTAAACTCGTATGTTACGGAAGTAAAACATGGGAAGACTGATTGCCAAAGTTGCATAAAATATGCGTTTCGAATGGATTTTCTAAGTTTGATACAGTGTACCATTCAATTCCGAGACCCCTCTAATTTGAAACCACTTTTTTAAAGAACCAAATAACAATCGTCAATCTTTTAACATAGAGATTCCTCTAAGCGGAGACCGAACACACTTTCTCTCATTGCCCTAAATATATTTTTATGGAATCAATGAATGTAATAGGCCTAGGCCTACACACGTTATGCGCCTACTATTACAGACTTCTTAATATTCATCGGCGGTTTCTTATGCGGAGATGTGAATGTATCACTCATATAAATTGACAAAGTTTTTCAGATGCCTATCCATCATAAACATTGTTTTAACACATATATAAATGTTTAGTGCCTTTGACGTGAGAGTCTGGTGACCTGGCATAGTTATTTGAAATAAGATTCAATTATTGCTACAATATTAAGATTCAGTTGGCATAATATAATACCTTTAAGGTCAGACTTAAGTCACATTGCTTCAAGTTTAGTGCCCATGTAGGCCTATATTTATACTAATCATCTCTCCTCAGCCTTTATAGCACAGGCCATTTCAACGGCGTTCTTCTTGAACGGCCTAATTTAGATTAGGTAAGGATTAACCATAGAAGTGTACTGTATTTATTAAATTTAAAAAAAAAATGAAAAAGAAAATCATACTCCTAAACTGATTTCGTAAATTATAAATATAAATTGTAGGTACTTTGTTAATCCAAATTCTGACCAACGTTAACGAGACCCGTGGCTTAAACAATGAGGGAATTATATTTGCCTACATGACTGAAATGAGATTACATTTTTTTCATGATCATATACATGGTCTGCTTATTTCTAATAAGAATCAATTGCAACAATATAAAAATTTGACATAATACAATATTTACTATATGTGAAACTCAAATTATATTGCTTCAACAAGAAGCAATAGTTTTCTTTATTTCATCCCTCCCTTGGCCTTCATGCATAGGACAATCTAATTCAACAGCGGTCTTTCTAGTCTTAATCTAGACTTTTTGACGATAACCATAGGCGTATAGGCTTTCTTTATCCATGTTGATTAAATAAATGCAAAATCAAACGCCTAAATTGATTTTTTTTTCTGATTTTATGTAATTAAAAATGTGATGCGTTTGGATGCGTTGTTATCTCTATCCAAATTGTGAACGCCTGCATTAATGAGAAGTTTAATACTATTGACCAATGAAATGGTCAACATCTGGATTATAAGAAATTACTTTATGGCATTTAGTTTTAAATT